CGTCGACCGCGCACATATACACCCAACGTCCCCTCAAACTCACATCCACCCCATTCACACCCCTCACAGCACAGCCACTCATCTCCCACCCTCTCACCGTGCACCGTCGACACACTCTTTCACACCGTCACCCCCCCGCCTTCCTCTACCCGCTCTATGCTGTTCTCCTCCAGTCCGCAGTTCACAAAACCTATTCCCATCACACCCGGCACAGTCTTCGTGCTATTCCTGCCCCACATCATGCATTCATCACACACCACTGACCCAAGCCAGTAATGCGGTGCCGATTCAGCTCCCACACGCCTTTCTCCTCCATAAAATACCTTATCAAACTAGTATCTCAGCCCAAAAATGGTAAGGGTGAACCCTAGTTTGAGGTTGGGGTTACCCCATTCTAGGGTTGGGGTCACTGCCAAATCTGCATCCCTGGCATCCCTGGATGCTCTCATAACCCTAACCCTAACCCTAAGGTGGCAAGTGAATTTCTCCGTGGATTGTCATCGGATTGCCATGAAAGTAAATGTGCTGCGTAGCCAAGAAGCGTCCCTACAGATCTCTCAGCCTTGCCACCAGAATCCGGCCAGCGGTTGAGGAGCTATGGCCCTTGCCACCGGCTTGCCACCATTTGCCACCGGCCCCATGGGCATGGAGCCCGGCATTATATAGATAGGCTTGATGCGCGCGACGTCTCCATCCACCAGGCTAGCCGCAAACTTGGTCCACGTCGACTCGGCCCCTACGAAGTTCTAGAGCGTACAGGAGACCTCACTTACCGATTACTCCTCCCCCCATCTATGCAGAACCGACACGATGTCATTCACGTTGATCGCCTCACCCCCTGGAAAGGCAATGACATCAACGGAGAACAACCACCACCACCGGAACCAGTGGAGGTGGAGGGCGAATTGGAGTACGAAGTGGAGGAAATCCTGGACAGCCGCAAGTATCGCAACCAGTTCCAATACCTTGTTCGTTGGAAAGGCTATGGCGAAGGTGACGACAGCTGGGAGCCTGCCAAGGGGCTTACGCACTGCCAGGAACTGATCGAGGAGTTCCACAAGCGAAACCCCAACGCCCCTCATCGCATCGCATCCACTGTATTCGCATCTCTTCCCTGGCAGCCCCTATGCAACTTAACGACAGCAACCCCCTCTCCTTTCGAATGGGTTTCGGGGCGCCGGCCAGCCTCTAAGTCCGTCGGGGACCGTCGGACGTAGGAGGGGGGTAATGTCACGGTCTGTGGACCAGCACCCCCTTTTCGCCCCTCCCGGAAGTTCCAGTTTCCTCCTTCAGACCCTTTCCTATCTTGGACACCCCCTTTTTGGATCCCCTGAACTCCATTCCCGTGACCGCATGCTCCGTTCCCGTGACTGTATGCTTCATTCCCGCAGTTACCTCCCCTTTACCATGTGTTTTCCCGCCCTTTTGTCTTCCACCCGCGCAGCCTCGTTCCCCTTCCCATGTGATTCCCTTCCACTAGCACGTGATTGTCTTGCACTGGCACGTGATTCTCTAGAGCAGAGTAGTATATAAGGCCCCCTCAGCGCTTACCTAGTCCCCATCTCGACCTCCTGGTCATTGGGACTAGGTGTGTATCTACCCCCTGTACTCTTCCCCCTCTCCGTGCTAATGTATAACCTGGTCATTGGGACTAGTCTGTCGCAGTGCGCTTGAAGACTAGCTATCGTCGACTTTGTGCCTTCGTGCCGGTCGTCGCTTTGTCCTCCATCGAGTTCATCATCTCTTCTATCCATCTCATTGCTCTTTCGGCTCCTCGCAGCTCGCCCCTCAGGTCGTCGCCGATCGACGCCTGGTGTCTACGCATCTAGTCGCCGCGACAGGCAGCATCAGAGAAGTCTGGCCCTGCACGGTTCAGGATGACCGCCCCGGTACGGGCTACAGATGACAGGATCACCGCGCGGCACTCGAGGAGGTCCAAGTGACGGTACTGGTACTTGCAGCGGCTCTAGTCAACAGACTTCACGAAGTCGGTCAGGATACCCGCGGTGTCGGAAACCTGTTCCCACCCTTCAAGAACGGTCTTGGTTCGGCGGACGAACTGGAGCTCTTTGTTCCCCGGCGGGGCGAGCGCGAGGACGGTGTCCTGGACCAGGACCTTTAGGTGCTACAACGAACGAGCGGGTCAGAAGGCTTACCAGCGCAGCGGCGATGCGGTCCATGAACCGGCGGACTTCCTCATTACTGCTTTCGGTACCGGCCTCCTTGACGCTCTCCAAGTCGGATACCGCTTTGTCAAGTTGGCGTCGGCCCTCGCGGACGCAGGTCACATAATGGTCTTCCCACACTCCGGGGGTCGGCTCATGGAGAAGGAAATCGCGGACTGCATCCATAAGGGGAGGGTAGAGGGGGCCTTCGGTTCTGGTTGCTCCTTCCGGTCACAAGGCCCCTTCCGCTTTTATACGCTGAAGCCATGGCTATCCTAGCCGGTCCGCAACCCGATCGATGGACTGAGGACGGTCCCGATTTCAGTGGGGAGGGGGTGATGGGTATCGATAGTGGCTGGCTCCGGCTGCTCCGCACTCTCACTCTGAGGCTCTTACCGGTGGCGGACCTCGTCAGACGCAGGAGGGACCTCTCCGGTGGCGGTGCTCACGACGGACCTCGCTGTTCCTTCCTGCCTGCTAGCACGGTGTTAGCCTAGGAGCCCCCAGGACGTCTCTCTCTCTCTCCGTGCCATTGGGCACTTCTCACCGGCGGTCGTCACCGAAACCGGGGTTCGAACACAACCGGAGGGAAACACACGGGGGACCAGGAGGAACGCGTGTCGGAAGGTAACCGGAAGCTGGAGGACGCTCATTGGACGGTACGGGCCCAGTCTCAGTTCGTGGTCTGTGCGTAGTTCCTGTCGAGAAGTCCCTTTTGTATCCGTAGCGTAGCAGGAAACAACCTCAGACTCCGTTTCCCCTCACCGCACAGTACACAGTCTTTTGACCGCCCCACCGCAAAAACAGGAAAGTTCTCATATCGACCGTCCACCGACTGCACCGTCCACCGTCTCCGACACCGTTTCCATCACCGTCTATACCATCGGAAGTAACGTCCGGTGGTTCTCGCTGTCGGGGACCCCCTAGTCCCTGCCTACCGCCCTCTAGTACCGTACCGCACCGTCTACCGCTCACCGCTCGCCGTCCGGTTCAGCAAAAAGGGCAGCAACAGGGACTCGTCCCTTTCCGTCCCCGTCACCGTCTTCCGTCCAAGCCCCGGTACCGCAACCGTCTCCGAGTAGCTATCGCCCGGTCGGACGAGTCACTGCTGAGTCTCCCTGTCTGATTCGTCCTGTTACGTCCCCCTACCGCTACCCAAGAACCAGCTCCGGACCTTGACCAGTCGGGAACCTCATCCCACCTCGCTCACTACATACCCTGTCCCGATCCTTATTTCCGCTCGCCGCGGTTAGGTTCTCGATAGACGTTACACCGTGAAAGAGATGAATGTCTTGGCACCTACATCCTGCCGGTACCTGCACAGCGGTGCTTATGAGGCCAAGGGGAGTAGTATCCCGTCTTGGCAAGCCTCTTGCATTCCTGCATCTTGGACGTGCTCACAGATGTATCTCTTAACCTCTGACAGTCCTCCAAGATTCATTCATACGATCCAAGGTATCTATTTATAGAACATATTGCTCTGACGCCCGGGACATGGTGGTCTCTCAGATCCATTTCCCATCTACAGTGAATTGACCTGAGAGGTCTGGTCCTCCCCTGCCCTAGGTGCCCTGACAAGGTCTTATAACAGTATGCAATCAGTCCCAATATGTCAGGATCTCCCAGGAGCTCTGCAAGGTCTGGTGGATTGCATGATGATTGCAATCACTCGCAAGAGTGCCCTTGTTTGCAAACTATGGAATCATTCCCGAGCCTTTTGGGTTTTTGCTGATGCAAGAGCCAGCAGCCAATGCTTCATGATGCTAATATTCTGACACAAACAATCATATGTTATAATTCCAGACTGAGTTGTTATATATTTTCCAGCACGTGAATTAATGTAGGCCTGGTGGTCTAGTAGTATGATTCCTTCTTAGGGTATCCTCAATGTATACTTTGTTTGGAGGAGGTCCCGGGTTCAATTCCCGGCCAGGCCCTTTTTACACTGCTTCTGCCGCAATGCGATTCAACGCTGGAACGGCCAAGATGGACACACCAAGCCCCAAGGTCAAGGAACATATCTATTACCTGAACAACCCTATATCTAGCACAGTCATCCTATCACACCGACCTCCGAATGAACTCGACCAACGCTCTATACAAAGCGAACCCACCGTCAGCGCCCCGCACACCCATGCCAAATTCTCGACAGAAGTCAGAACTCACCTCGTCGGCCGCCCTGTCATACCCTTCTCCTGGTACGCGCCGCTCCCGCTCGCCTCCATGCTCCCCGCGATGTCGATGTGCGCCCATCGGACCCTCGGCTGCTCTTCGCCATCTGCTGGCTCGACGCCGTCGACGAAGGACTTGAGGAAGAGCGCAGCTGTGCAGCACCCTGCGCGCGAGCCGCCGGTCTGTAAACGGGAAATGTGTTAGTTGTCACTGGCCAGTAAAGAGGCAGAGACAGTGCGCGCGCGCGAGAAGAGTCGTCGTCGTAGCAGAAGTCCGGACGTTGGAGACGAGATGCGATGCGCGGCACAGAGACGGAGATGGAAACAGAGACGACAAGCACCCTGTGGTCCGCATTCACGCGGCTACCGAGAATTGCAACAGGCGGATGGCAATCCAGTCGGGTGCGAGATGGCGGAACCTCAGAGACGAAGCTCATCCTCGCGTAGGCGACGGACGCACACGGGACTCCACACTCGCAAACACAGAACGCACGGACGGAGGACTCACGTTGACCAAATCCGCGGGCCCCTCGTAGATCTGCGACCCGTACTCTTCGTCGAGCGGCATTCGCCAGAAGCGGTCGTGCTCCCTCAGCCCCGCGGCATGGAGCTCATTCCAGAGGGAATCCGAGTTCTGTTTCGCGCGCGACTAGTCAGTACGTGGAGGGGTACAGGACGGACGAGAGCGCGTACCGTGAAGACCCCCGAGTAGATCTCGCCGAGAGCGTAGTCCATGGAGCTACAGCGCAGTGTCAGCGGCGAGGTGAGAGTAAAAGAGCTCGACACACCCTGTGAGCGTCGCGACGTCGATCAGCGTGTCGGGCTTGAATTTGCTCGAGCCGTAGTAGATCGCGTCTGTGAATGTACGATCAGCCAGGTCATACTTCGCATGTCGACTGACTGAACTCACCAGCGAGGACGAGCCGTCCCTCCGCGTCGGTGTTGTCGATCTCAACCGACTTGCCGTTCATAGCGTACACCCTGGGTCGGTCTACGAGTCAGTCAGACTCATACGGAAGTGTGAATGAGAACTGACGTGTCCCCGGGCTTGTTCGCCGTCGGCCCGGGCAAGTTCTCGGTGAGCGGCGTGAGCACGACGAGGTTGACACTTGGGGAGAACAAAGTCAGTCGAGCAGGCAGCTGCGGAGAGGGCCAACGAGGACGTACGGAATCTTCAGCCTGGCGATGGCAAGTGCAGTTGCGCAGACCGTTGCGGCACCGCCTGTGAGACACATCAGTATGGTCCATGAGCGCAAAACGGCACATCGCTCACCCATGTCGCCGCGCATCAAGCTCATGCCCTGCACGACAGGACAAACGCGGACAGTCAGTGCGCAGTCAAGGACAACGGAGTACCAAAGCGCACCTTGGAGGGCTTGAGCGAGATGCCTCCCGAGTCGAACGTGATGCCCTTGCCGACGAGCACGAGCGGGGTTGCGTCGGGTGCGCCGCCCTTGTAGTGACTAGACAGCAAGCCCGCGGTCAGCATGGGGGTCAAATAGTCGGGAGTGAGAAAGACTTACAGCTCCAGGAACTTCGCCGGCTCTTGCGAGCCCTTGGCCACGGAGAGGAAAGTGCGCTGGGAGCGGGCGTCAGCGTTGATACAGGACGTCCGTGTATGTGCGTACCATGCCCTTCTGCGCTGCCCATTCTACAGAGGAACAATGGTGTGTCAGTAAGCTAGCAGTGCGTAACGGGAGGAAGCCGGGGATAGACGTCTACGGAACCACCATGCCAATGTGCAGATAGCGAAGGGTAGACAACTGGCATCCGCGAAGCTTCACTATGCGAAGCTGAGGCTTTGAAAAACATGACCGCCATCCCGTAAAATGAAGCCGCTCGCTGCGATGCATGCCCGCGAGCAGATAATACGTTGGCAAAGCGCAGAAGGACCCGCAGTCTATCGAGAGTCGTAGCAGCTATTCCAACTGAACGCGACACTGACGACGTGGAAGAGCTGCCCGCCAGACAGTCTCACCGGCGGCGTTGTGGGCGGTCACCCCCTCTGCTCCTTGTAACGCATGCGCATATGCGAACCTGCGCGCGCCCTCCTCAATGCTCGCCGCCCCTTAACGCATATGCTGGCGATCACGCTCCACCGCTTTAAAATGGTGTAGTTTGACCACTAACGTCGTGATGGGTTGTCACACCAGCACGCAGCATGCGTCCTCGTCGACAATGGGAGTCGCGGAAGACATAGCCTCGAGCAAACCGTCGGGCCATGGCAGTGGTCAACGCGCGCGGGGGGAAGGGAGACGCGACCAGTCACGTAGAGGGGCGCGCCTTCATCACACCGACCGGCCAGCCTTCTCTGACGGACGGTGCGCCAGACGAATGCTCTCATGCAGAGTGGCAGAAAATGGAACCGAGGTGGTGTAGATGCAGACCGAATGAAGGGTACGTACCAGTGTCGCGGACGATAACCTCCACGTTCGCGAGACCTGCAGCCTCAGCCTTGATGCGCTCCGAGAAGGCCTGCAGAGCGACGCGTCAGAGCGCGACTTCACGCGCATGCAAAAAAACAGTCTGAACGTACCGTAGGGGTCATCATGTTCGCAGGCAACTCCATGAGCTATGCAAAGAGTGAGTGAGCGAGGACTCGTGTGACGAGGTGAGCGGACGTACCGTGCGCGCGAGGTTCTGTGCCTGCGCGTAGACAACGCCGGTATCCCATTCTTGAGATGGCGACAGCGCGGAGAGGTTGAGCTTCTCCGGTAGGGGTTCCGTGAGGCGGGGGTCGAAGGGAGATGTAGTCTTCGTCTTGAGGGTGAAATGGTAGAGCGCGAGGTGCGCGCCGACAGCTGTGCTCGCGAATTGATTGCATGTAATGCGCAAAAAATTACGGAGATACATACCTGCTGCGTGCGCGTCAACAGACGCGTCAACAAGAACCTTGCTGCCCTCTACACCCTCGCCCAGGCTCCGAACCTTCTTGATTCCTCCCGCTACTGCCTTCCTCACGACCTCTCTCCGCTCGTCGCCCTTCTTCTTCCCGAACTTGTCACCGAGCGATGAAAGCGCAGTGATATCCTCGCCGTAGAAGAGGTGAGTCGTGCCCGTCGCCGGAGGTTTTGACGCAGCCGGAGTCGACTTCCAGAGCTTCGTGGCGTCGACGGGCGCAGCTGCCGCAGACGGCGCGGAGGGGTCGATAGGAAGGACGTAGATGGACGACATGCGCCTGAGCAAGGCTGGAGAACGAGGGAGAAGACGCGATGAACGAGAGAGGAGCATCGAGGAGGAGGGGGGTAATATGGTGAAGGCAAGCAGCTCCGCGACTGCCACGGGCCAATTCCGACAGAGCGCTTCCACGCACGCTCCCTTCCTCCTTAACCATTGAGGTCCTCTTTCTTTTGTCGTCTCTGCCGATGATAAACTAATGCGCTGATATGCATCACAAGTACTGGCGCATCGTCTCTGCTGCATACTCTCCTGGCGACACCAATCAAGTTGTTCTTCCCACTCAGCGACCCCGTTCAAATCCTTCTCGGAGGAGCGGTCGCCATTCTGAATATCTAAATCTTCACCCGGACCCATCGCCCGTAAGTGACGTCTTGTCGTACATCTAGAAATTCCCTTGATTATTTTAGTCGATAGAAACGGGTTCAGCGATCTCAGGTGCCTCTGGATGCCGAGTGATAAATGTGCAGTTGGGGTGAACTCCGTCCGGAGTCGTTGACGGTCCTCCTAAGGTGTACATGTAAGTACTGGTTGCAATGTTGCATATGTCCGTCCATTGTAATATGCATCGTTCCGATCCATGAAGACTCCTCAACTCAGGCAGCTTCATGCACTCGTGAGTCTCCACTCTCCTACGTGGCCGACCGCCACCGTCCCTACGCGTGTGTCATGCACGCAGGTAAACTGGAATTTACGGCTGGTATACACTCGACGTACTCGTCATTGCTCGAGCTCAACTCGGATCTCATTGGCAAAGTCGCAGCCGGAGAGGTTCCGAGTCGAGTATCACCGTACCTTGAGTCATTCCCCTGGGTTCCCAGTGCACGCTCGCGAGTTTCTTCGCCCTTCCGAACGTCTCAGATCCGGCTGGTGCATCGCCGCTGCTGTAAAATGCTCCTCCTATAGACCCGTACAAGTTGCACCTCCCCTCCGAGCCTGTCTTCATCCCCGGTCCACGCTCTGGCGCGGCCATCCTGTCTCAGCACTTGAGACTTCTTCTCTTCTCCCTTCCGCGTCCATTGCGATGCGAGAGGTCCGATGCCAGACCTCAGATACCTGTGCTGCAATGCCATCTCTGCGTGACCACCACGTTGTCTCCCGTGGTGTCGACTGCGCACATTGCCCTGAAGATCGAGACCCTGCCTCGCACGATGCGTGCAAGCCAACGCGATGGCCTACAGTATCGCTACGGGAGATCCTGAAGAGCTCTGTTCAGTCCGGAGGTGGTATCGCTCACGACGCGCAGTTCGTCCTTCTCCGTACCCCACATTTCTGTCACGCGGGATGCAAGTAATGATTCTTCCACCGAGAGGCTCTATCACCTCTAGCTCCCATCATAGGATTGATTCTTGCGCCTTCTTGAGTTGAAATACGACCCTCGAGTGCCTGCTTACGCACCCTGCATTGTATGTGTCAAAGTTCACCTACATAGGTGTCGCAAGGGCCTGCGGTTTGCCCGGAGACTACGGAGAAACGGTGCCGAAAGACTTCGCTGAGAACTGGTTACCTCCTACACTGCCTCTGCTCAATCACTTGTGCGTGCTGTTATTCGCTAACGCTATAGACGACTTCGTTGGACAAGGCGTCGA